TGTTTTTCTATGTTTTTCTATGTTTTTCTATGTTTTTCTATGTTTTTATGAGTTATGCAATGGGCAAACAATGAAGGCCTCTCCCCTGATCATTATCAGAACATAGTGTTCTGTGTGCGCACGCCAACTGAGGGTGACCATCAATTGTAATCCAGGAAGGTCAGTGTCTTCAGAGAAGAGGGGAGAGTAATGGGTAATGGAAAGATACTTGTCCAGAACTTGAATAAGTCAGTAGAGCAGGAGTTATTTTCCCCCCAAAGGCAAGGATGGCTAGTGATGGGATGATTGTGAACTGTGATTGAATCTTTTTTTTTATACCTATCAGGTAGTGGTGGATACAGCGCAAATCGAGAATAAAGAAGCTTATGCCCCACAGATCAGCCTGGAGGGCTCCAGGATTTTGGTTCAGGTCCCTTCAACATGGTAAGTGTAATTGGTTATAAGTACTACATTGGTAGTAATCCATTCATTCACCTTTCAGGCAGTGAGAATTTACAAAAACACATACGGAGTAGTGTCTTCCAGTATTGATTTACAGCTAACTACTGCTGGTTCATTTTTTTGTGTGCATGCTTATCATAATGGGACCTCAACACTTTCTATTTAGGGCTTCAGGTGTCAGCATCAACAGTCTTAGGCCATGTGCAGCTTTGGTTAGATATTAAGAGAACCTCCCTCCATAATATACCAGTTTCATGCATCAATCTCAGGACATTGACTACGAATGGATTGGTGAGATCCGTTAGACAATAAAGAACATATCCATTAAGCAGGTCTTTGGGATATCTGATTTTCTTCTAGCCACATTTACTATTCTCTTGTCTTGACATAGATTGTGGTTTACACAGATGGTGTCAATAAAAGGAAGTGCCAATTTATTGATTAAATTCTGTGTGTTATAAAGTTTCTGTTTTAAGTATGTTGCAGCACTCAATGTTATTTGAACTGTAATGAGTACTCATCTGCTGCAATTTTCACTAATACCAAAACTATCATCAAAAATCTTTTTTCTCCTTTGACTTTTTCTGAAGGCTAGGATTTGTGCTGGCAGTGGGAGCAATGACCCCTTGTAATTATAGTGGGAGTACATAAATGATTTGTTTAACTGTGTGGCGCTTTAAATTTTTTTGAGTGGCTGCACATGTATAATTTAGTAGGATCTCCTCCTGCACCACTTGTGTTAGGTGTTTTGGGGTTGTGTGTCTGCACAACTTGGAGGGTACACTGGTCAGGCTGAGTGCTCACATCTGGAAAGGCTGCGCAGTGTGGCCAAATGCAGCCATCTGATTAGTTAACCCCTTAACTGTAATTGTCTCTGAGTATGGATTGAAGCAATAAAGATTATTAAGACAGAACTATAAATTGTCTTGATGTTTTGTTGGTGTTTACAATTTAAGATGACTTGAGGCTTTTCTGTCATTTTGTGGTGTAAATACTATTGTTTAACCCGTAAGGTCTGCCTGAAATTTCTTTCTTCCCTACAAGGAGTTAACACATTTAAAATAAGGTTAAGACTTCCATTTAAGTGTGGATGTTGGGAAGATGTTTCCATTGGTAGGAGAGACTAGGACCCGAGGGCGCAGCCTTAGAGTAAAGGGAAGACCTTTTAGAACAGAGATAAGGAGAAACCTCTTTAGCCAGAGAGTGGTGAATCTAAGGAATTCACTGTCACAGAAGGCTGTAGAGGCCAGGTCATTGAGTATATTTAAGACTGAGTTAGATTTTTGATTGACAAGGGGATCAAGGGTTATGGGGAGAAAGCAGGAAAATGGGGCTGAGAAACTTATCAGCCATCATTAAATGGTGGAGCAGACTCAATGGGCTGAATGGCTTAATTTCTGCTCCTATGTCTTATGGTCTTAATAGGGTTTTCATTTTGATGTATTAAGTGTTTGCGTGCCATTGTTATGGAGGCTGTGTAATTTCTAGGCCTGTTACATCATCAGTGTTTTCAGATGTAGTGAAAGAAACCAACATGCCTGTCCTGTGTAGGTGAGACTTTATACAGTCGGTTCTGCTATAGCGCAATAGTTGCTTTCCTGTGCAACAACATGTTATAGAAAATCGCACTATAGAAATAATGGGTGCTGTGGCAAATGCAGGGTTGGAGCTGACCACCAAAAAATATCACTGAAAATCGCTCAAAAACCTCTCAAAAGCCCAACACAAAGGATAGCACAGTTTGAATATATGTTTAATTCATATCTAATAATGAAAAAAAAAGTAAATTTAATGTCTTATGTTGAAAATATCTCAAGATGACTTGATGTGGGGAGGAGGTTTTGTGGTTGCTCTGTTGTTAATGCGGGGGCTGAGGGTTGTAATCATCATTGTCATTGTCATTGTCACCATCTTCAGGTGCAAGTGTGAGTGCAGGGTTAGGGTGAAATTTGGTTAATCCAGAAGTGGTTGGCTGTGGTTCATTGTCTTCTGACTGTTTCTTGGGGGTTGGCTTAAAAAAGACATCCAGTTTTTGCTGCTTTGCCCTTTTTCTTCTTTCATGAAGAAACTGTTCATAGGGTGCCAAGTAAGATCTTATTCCACGAACTGCTACCCTGCTGCGTTCTGCATTGTAATCATTGTCCTCTAAGAGCTGCAACTGCTTCACAATTTCCCTCAGGATAGAAGACAAAACAGAATTGGAAAACTCTCATGGTGCTGCATCCTGTACTTCATCTTCTTCATCTCCAGCTTCCACTCCTCCCTCAGTGACAAGTTGTTGTAGATCAGCTGTAGAGAGGTCTTCACAGTGGGACTCAAGCAGCTTTTCACCATCCTCACTCTCCACTTCTTTAAATCCAACTTGCTTTGCAAGAATAATCTTTGATTCTTGGGAGCTCCTCGGACAAATCAAAGGTTTTAAAATCTTGAAAAATATCTGGGAGAAGCTTCTGCCAAACTGCATGCAAGCAGTCCTTACTGACATCACCCCAGGCCTCCACCATAATGTCAATTGATTCTTGATGTTAAAGCTCTTCCACAATTGAAGAACACTGTCCTTATCCCCCTCAGTGGCTGCAATCGGCCTCTTTAAATGTGCGCCTTAAATAAAAAGCTTTAAAAGCTGCTATTGCACACTGGTCCATGGGTTGAAGGAGAGAGGTTGTGTTTGGGGGTAGAAATAGCACTTTAATGTTTTTAGAAAGCTCACCAATGGTGGGAGGATGGCTTGGCACATTATTCAGGATAAGGAGAATATTGAAATCCAAGATTTTCTTTCCTGCAATACTTTTCTAAAAACATCTTCCAAAACATCAACAATAAGGTCAGAAAAAAATTGTCCCGTCATCCAAACTCTCTTGCTTGACCTAAAGTAGATGCCTAGAGTAGACTTAAGGTAACTCTTCAAGGCTTGAGGGTTGGTGGAGTGGTACACCACCACAGGCTTAAGTTTTATGTCTCCACTGACGTTGGCACCCAGCAGCACAGTCATATAACCCTTTGCCACCTTAAAGCCTGGACCGTGTGATACTTTTATAGAAATGTAGGTTCTTGATGGCATTCTCCTCTAGTATAAACCTATCTCATCCAAATTGAAATTTTGATCTAAGCTGTAGTCTTCTTTGTCTTTTTTTTACTGTGGGAGAAAATGCCATCTCACTCCTCGCCTGCGCTGACAGCTTTGCCATGTAACTTTACGTTATGAAAAGCACAGTGGTTCTTAAAACCAGCCACTGCTAGCAGTAAAGGCAGGCACATCTGCAGGATTTTCAGCCTTTTTTGTTAGATTTTCATAAATTGATAAGGCTTTCTCTTTTATGCTGAGAAGGGTGGTCCCAGATCGCTTTTTCATTTGATCTTCTATTCACACACTTAGAAGCCACTCCACCTCCTCAACTTCCTTTGTCCATGACCTCACAGATTTGCTAGCACTCAGACTTGTTCCAGCAATACAGCTTGTTTTAATCTCTTCTGCATTGTCTCTAATGGTGCGTAAAGTAGACTCCTTTATTCCCTGTTACCAGAACAATATCACTGTCATTACACTCAAAATGCTTTATAACATCTAGCTTCTCTTCCAGTATTATAGCCTTTCTTTTATGTTCATAACCTGCTGTTTTATCACCAGGATGCTTCTTGCTAACATTTTTTCACTTTGTCCTTGCATTTTTGTGGGTAATAGGCAGAACTTGCAAAAAAAAAGGAATACTGTACCTCTTATAGTGCGATGATCGCGTGATGCCAGCAGGGAGACTCTTTCAGCGCTAACATTACACATGGTCAGGACAAAGCCCACAAAATGATCATGTGATGTCAACACGTACTCCTCCACGCACCGATGGAATCATGTTATAGTCAGCTTAAGTTCACGTTTTAGAAATAGCGTTCCCCTATTCATCAGTCACGTTATAGCCAACTTGTGTCGCCGGACAAACACAAGCAAAGGTGATTTCACTGACTCCGGCCCATTCGAAGGGTGGAAGACAGATATGAATACTCAAGTATGAGCAATTGTCAGAGCCCAAAAAATGCAGTAGGATGGCCAAAACACCACTTCAAGAAGGGGAGAGGGTTGCATAGTGATAAAATCGTGACTAGTAATCCAGAGCCTCAGACTAATGTTCTGGGAACATAGTTTCGAATCCCACCATGGCAGATGGTGAAATTTGAATTTGCCATCCTTCACTGATCTGGTTTATAGACTCATGACAATGTAATTTACTCTTAACTGCCTGTGGGCAATAAATGCTGGCCTGGCCAGCAATGCCCATATCCCATGACAGTGTAAAAGAGCACCAAATGCTCATAAGCCTGACATGAAGGGCCTAACCATCAATTCTCACATTTGAGAATCACTAGCTGATCACAGAGAGAAATGGCAACATCTCTGTAAGCAATTGTGCAGGCAACGAACACCAACCTAGTGATACCCTCTATGCTGTATTAGAGGACTTTAAGGTGCCGCTTTGTGCCAAATTCTCTAAATGATTTCTGATCTGTAGGCATTACTGCAATGTAGACATCTGCAGTACTGCTGCCTCACAGCACTAGGGACCCAGGTTTGATTCCAGCCTCTGGCGACTGAATGTGTGGAGTTTGCACATCCTCCTTGTGTCTGTGTGGATTCCTCCGGTTTCCTTCCACAGTCCAAAGATGTGCAGGTTAGGTGGATTGGTCATGGTAAATTGCCCGTAGTGTCCAGGGATGTGCAGGCTAGGTGGGTTAGCCATGGGAAATGCGGGAGTACTGGAGTGGGTCTGGGCGGGATGCACTTCAAAGAGTCAGAGTGACTCAATGGGCCAAATGGCCTGCTTCCACATAGTATGGATCTTATGATTCTATATCGTCTGAACGAAAGCATCTCTAACAGTGTGGTGCTCCTTCAGTATCCCACAGGGAATTTTGGTCTAAATTATGAACACAAGGCTCTAGATTGGGACTTATATTTGTGACTTTCTGACTCAAATGGGAGTGCTACCTGATGAGTCACAGCAACCATGTTTAAATTTAAAAATAAGCCGCTCATTTGTGACAGTTGCCAGCATTTGGAAGAAACCATAGAAATAAGGAGGTGGGGTGAAAATATCTTTGTGTTTTCTCTCATTCTCACCTTTTCGTCTAACCCCCATGCTCCCCAGGTGTTTGAAGGAGGATCCTGCCACCATGTCTCTCTTACAGAGATGCCTGGACCCTGAGAAAACGCTTGGGCTGGTCGATGTATTGTACACAGCGGTTTTTGACCTGTGCAGGTGGAAAGAGAAAAGGTACAGTAATGAACATTTTCAGCAGCTAGAACTTGAGAATCTTAGAAAGAGAGAACGCTCTTTAATCCCAGCCAGTGCATTCCTTTACATAGCTCAGCCTCACCACCTTCTTGTTTCAATCTCTTTATTGTACATTGACCCAACAATATGACAATTCGGCCTAACCAGTCTTTGTCAGTAATTGTCCCCCACAAGATCTGAAATCCTGATCTCATGAGCCTGTCTTGTTGTCTTTTTTATTCCCCCAAACCTGTATTCCCTGTGCCTTTTTATTTTTCCATTTCTTGAGTCATTCAGCTTTCTGCTTCTTCAGTTAGATCTGTTCATACAATCAGTAGCCTTACAACCTTGTGATTGTTTTTTTTTCCCTTTTAAGAAGGATTTCTCCTCTTTCCTAAAGCTTGCACACTTCATCTTGTCCCTCTTGTTCTCAACCTACTCAGTTACTGAAAACAGAAGCTGATGGGTTGATCAAATTCATTCCTGCTGTTCACTTCTGTCCCTGTCTCACAATCAATTCTGTAATTCTGTTGTGACTTAAGAGTGGAGAAAAAGCCCACTGATCTCCTTTCTCTCTTTTTCCTGTTCTTGTTACTAATTCACTGACTCATGGAGAAATAACCTCATTCATATTCCGGCTGAATCCTAATTTTGAACACCTACTACATCTCCTCTCCTTGCGTCAGTGAATATAGAACAAGTTGTGTTTAGGTTTGTTTTTCCTTTAAATTCATAGAATACGATATGGAAGTGTTGGTGGTAAGTTGTTGTTTTTGTTTACTGTTGCAGGGAGCAAGTTTTGCCAAGTATCCAGATTCAGCTACGACGGGAATGCACTGACTTTGGGACTCATGTGGATCTTCCTACAGCAAATGGGGCTATTGTTAAGTCCTCTGGTGGACTACAGAAAACTTTTGCGAAACTGACCTCTCGTTTCACGAAGCGAAATTCCTGTAGCAGCAGCACAAGTAACAGTAGCAGTAGTGGTGGGAGCTTTTCAATCCCAAATACACCTTCTAAGAGTAACTTCTCCATTAATAGCTCTGAGGAGGAGCGGAAAGCCAAGCTGCCCAACCACTCAGATTTGAGGATGCAGAGCATTTTGAACGTTGGAAGTTTCCCAAAGACGGTTGATTCGCAGGAAGCTTCCCAAAGCACGTCCAACCCAATGGTCAATGGTTTCTCTGTGGACAAGAGGGAAATATTTTTCAAAGGGGATGATGGGAAGGATGATCAAGGCATAAAGTTGCCAAGCGACCAGGAAATGCAGGATGTTATTGACTTCCTCTCTGGGTTCAACATGGGCAAATCCCAAAAAGCATCACCACTCATTAACAGAAGGGATTCGGTCACAGTACCAGAGCGGAAAGCAGCTACCCTGCAGCAATCACAGACTGTACCACACACTCCATTGCCGAATTCTCATCAGGTCGCACAGCGCCAACATCAGCACCAGCAACAGCAGCAGCAATTGCAATATTACCAGCATCTCCTCCAGCCCATTGGGCAGCATCCACCGTCGGCACGACCACAGACTCCTCGAGCCCCTGGGAAATGGCCTAATAGTACGTCTCAGCAGACATCACAGAGCCCAGGTTCTGGACTGTCTCCAATTGGGTCTATGAGCCAGTGGAGCAATATTGCTGTGCATTCTGACTTGAGTTCAGACTTGTACAGCCTGGGTCTTGTTGGCAATTACATGGATAACATCATGGACAATGTCATGTCTGACATGTTGGGGCCAAAAGTGGCAAACACCAGGAATAACACTTGGCCCAACCGGGTGCAGAGTGACGGGGTGTTTGGGATGCTGGGAGACATTCTGCCTTTTGATCCTGCAGGTAAACATTTTGAAGCGGTTTTCCCGTCTTTGTTTTAAAAGACCTCAGCCACAGTCAGCCATGTGGTTTGTTGTGCTGAAGGTCTAAGATTTATTCTGTGCTCTTGTTGAGTTAGCAGTGAAGCTTTAAAAACAGAGACTTTGTGTTCATGAGTGCAATATTGAAGAGTTTCCACTTCACCTAGTACAAAGCAACATACCTTCAGAGTCAGTCTAGAAAAGAAAGCATTACATCAGAGCAGTTAGGAGGGTTAACAGCTATAGGGATTTTCCCTTTTAGTGTTCCCACAGAGTCATTCACATCTTTTGTTCCTAAAAGGATTAGGTAACTTGTTGAGAGATGGTAGGAACTGCAGATGCTGGAGAATCTGAGATAACAAGGTGTAGAGCTGGATGAACACAGCAGGCCAAGCAGCATCAGAGGAGCAGGAAAGCTGACGTTTTGGGCCTAAACCCTTCTTCAGGAATGGGGGAGGGGAAGGGGGTTCTGAAATAAATAAGGAGAGAGGGGGAGCCGGACAGAAGACGGATAGAGGAGAAGATAGGTGGAGAGGAGACAGACAGGTCAAAGAGGCGGGGATGGAGCCAGTAAAAGTGAGTGTAGGTGGGGAGGTAGGGAGGAGATAGGTCAGTCCAGGGAGGACGGACAGGTCAAGCGAGCAGGATGAGGTTAGTAGGTAGGAGATGGGGGTGGGGCTTGAGGTGGTAGGAGGGGATAGGTGGGAGGAAGGACAGGTTAGGGAAGTGGGGACGAGCTGGACTGATTTTGGGATGCGGTAGGGGGAGGGGAGATTTTGAAGCTTGTGAAGTCCACATTGATACCATTGGGCTGCAGGGTTCCCAAGCGGAATATGAGCTGCTGTTCCTGCAACCTTCGGGTAGCATCGTTGTGGCACTGCACGGGGCTCAGGATGGACATGTCGTTTGAGGAATGGGAGGGGGAGTTGAAATGGTTCGCGACTGGGAGGTGCAGTTGTTTAGTGCGAACCGAGCGTAGGTGTTCTGCAAAGCGGACCCCAAGCCTCTGCTTAGTTTCCCTGATGTAGAGGAGGCCACAACAGGAACAGCGGATGCAATATACCACATTAGCAGATGTGCAGGTGAACATCTGCTTGATGTGGAAAGTCTTCTTGGGGCCTGGGATGGGGGTGAGGGGGGAGGTGTAGGGGCAGGTGTAGCACTTCCTGCGGTTGCAGGGAAAAGTGCCAGGTGTGGTGGGGCTGGAGGGGAGTGTGGAGCGGACAAGGGAGTCACGGAGAGAGTGGTCCCTCCTGAAAGCAGATAAGGGTGGGGAGGGAAAAATGTCTTTGGTTGTGGGGTCAGATTGCAGATGGCGGAAGTGTCGGAGGATGATGCGCGTCCTCCTTGGATTGACCTATCTCCTCCCTACCTCCCCACCTACACTCACCTTTACTGGCTCCATCCCCGCCTCTTTGACCTGTCTGTCTCCTCTCCACCTATCTTCTCCTTTTTCCATCTTCTATCCGCCTTCCCCTCTCTCCCTATTTATTTCAGAATCCCCTTCCCCTCCCCCATTTCTGAAGAAGGGTCTAGGCCTGAAACGTCAGCCTTCCTGCTCCTCTGATGCTGCTTGGCCTGCTGTATTCATCCAGCTCTACACCTTGTTATCTCAGGTAACTTGTTGAACCTGCTTACCTGGTGAGTTAAGTGTAAATTTCTGGCTGATTAGATCAATAAACAACATGGTCTTTGCCCTAAAGCACCTGCTAGAGAAAAAAGTCAAAACCTTCTTTTCCGTTATGGATCTTACAAAGGCTTTTGACCAGGTCAGTGGAAGGACTTTTTTTTTCTACTTGCTGCAGAGCTGGATGCTACTCAGTCCTCCTCCCATCTAATTTCATCATTTTATAATGTTATAATCCAAACTAAGAGTCGCTGAGGATTTACAACCCTGAAATCCATAGTTATGTCCAGTAGGTGTGTGTTTTAATATCCTCACCCACTAGGTAGTGGAGCACTTCAGAGTGACAGCTCACGGTGTTTCCAAGCACTCACTAACGCTGAATGTAGATGGTCAAACATGGAACTGTGGGAAAGATGGGTACGGAGTTGGCAGCAATAAAGACTTGGGAGAGGGGTGGCAAGCTGGAGATTGAGCAGTTGTTTGATGTGGTAGAGGGGCCGCAGACTTTTCCTCACGTAGTGAGGGTCATGATGTGTTGATGACAGATTTGAAAGGAAGTGGTCAATGCTGGGGGGGAGAGAGAAGAGTTAACGCAGGGCCAGAATGAAGTAAGTAGTTCAGTGGGCACATGACTGAAAGAGCAGGTCTCAGCTTTGGGGGAATAGGAGGGGAGATGGGAGAGAAATGAGTTCTCCTGTCACCCCAACTGTAATGAGCTGACCGATCACGAGAATTGAATCTGGTTCTTCGTTGCTTTGTACAACCCTCTTCCCCATTGCCTTTATGACCTTCAGAGGTATTTCTGAACTGTGTCCCCGGAACAGGCTTACTTATGAACTGTCATGAACCCCTCCTGCTCCAGGATTAGGGACACTACACTGCACCACAAGAACCCTCGTAACAATCTTTTTTTTAATTTAATCGATTTTTCTAATCAACTTGTTCAAAGATGTTATTACACACCTCTCGAGCAGGTGGGACTTCAACCTGGGTCCCCTCGTCCAGGCGTAGGGACACTATCACTGCGCCACAAGAGTCTGGTACAATCTATTTATCCTGTCCTGTGATTGTGAACAAGCAACTGAAGTTAATTTGTTGTCAGTTTGGTTAATTGTTCAGCTGAATTATCTAAATAGAAGAGAATTGTCTCAAACAGTCTCAAATTTGATGCGATGGCACTCCCCTCCCTCTCTCTCTAGTTGGTTCAGACCCAGAGTTTGCCCGCTACGTAGCTGGTGTTAGTCAGGCGATGCAGCAGAAACGACAAGTGCAGCATGTCCGACGGCACAGCACTGCAAGGACTAACTGGCCTATCACTGACGAGCCTCACCGAACGTGGCAGCCGTCGGAGTGCTTCACTGAGGGGTAAGTGATGTACGTCCGTCTCAAAGGCATAGGGTATGCCAGAGCAGGAATTAGTCTTACTCTATGCACGTGAGCAATAGTGGAAAACTTTACGTGGATAGCCTTTGTGTGAGAGTGCGGGTCTGGGTTTATGGAGACAGATGGGAGAACTGGGTGGGTGTATGTTGTTAGTGAGGAGGGAATTTTTGTGTGTCATGTGGTGCATGTGAAGGTGTGTCATGGAAGCATGGAGCTCAAATGGAGGAAGAGTGGGTGTGAGAATGGGGTGGAGGAGTTATGGAAACATTCTCAGTTCTAACATCTGTCAAATGCAGTGACTAGCATTCTTTTCCACTTATGTCTAGAAACTCTTGCTGCCACTCCCACCATTTCATGTACCCATGGCTTCCTGCCATCCTGTACCTGGGTAGGGTAGCAAACTTGGCAGCTGACTGTCCCTGTAATTGCAGTGGTTGTTAAGCAAGGGTTGGTGTTGCCAGCTCCAGCACAAGATGGGGACAAGTGCAAGTGAGAGACCTCCAAACAAGAGGGCAGGCTTTCACGGAGTTGCAGAAGGTCCTACTACACCCAGTCTCTGTAACTTAATTTATCTCCGAGCAGAATGGTGCCAAGTCATCTTGAAGGGCATACTGGGTCCCAGATGTTTGATGCACTTTCAATTGATGTTTGCCTTTGTACATTGTGGGGACGATTTTTCATTTGGTTTCAGCAGTGGGGGTGTAATTCGCTCCTTTATCTCCAGGATTAAAGAAGGAGAAGAATTGATTTGGGTTCCTGATCTGTATCTAATGAACCCTGATTGGATGAGTGCCATGGGATGAGACCCTCTTTAAAAATCTAGTTGAATAGCTGTCCAACTTCTGGTTTGAAGAGTGCAGAACATACTTTATGGAAGTGCAGCTTCAGGATTGGGAAGAACAAAACTAATCCTCTATTCCCTCCCAGCAAAAGGTGGGACTGGAATTTCTAGTGTGCATTGTAATGTGTGCCAGCAGTGGGTTTTTCCCTTCAATAATTTTCTCTTCTACTTCCTTGACCAAATGGCACTTGTTAAATACAAGGCTTGGATCTGTCGCGCTGATTGTGTGTGTGTGTGTGTCTCTCTCTCTGCCTCTCCCCACTCCTATCCCTGTATTCTGCAGAGATATGATGAGTTGGTCAGGGACCCAAGGAGATTCTGCCAGCTCCAGTGATGAGGCTTCTTCTGCAAATGGAGACAGTTTGTTCTCCATGTTCTCAGGGCCTGACCTTGTTGCTGCTGTCAAACCGAGAAGGTAAGAAGTAAGTTTGGTGTGATGAGAGAGGTCATCAGCCTGAAACATTAATTCTGTTTCTCTACACAGATGCTGCTTGACTTCAGCATTTTGTACAAATACATTAAAGGCCCAACTTGATTTAAAGTATGGAAACATTTTAAGTGCAAGACTGTCCACAGTCTGCGAGGTGTTCACTGTCTCAGAATTCAAAGAAATTTCAATCCTTTTCTTGATTAATTCCCAGACATAGTGAACTTATGAGATACTCAATTCGGGTTCTGATTTGAGGATCTAACTAGTAATGATGGTTGGGCTCTGAGGTTCATTTCCAAACTTCCAGAGCCTCAACCTGTTTCCTTTCAAACTTAAACTGAGTGGCCTGTGTCAAACAGAACGTCCCTTTTAAATTCCCTGTACAAGCAATAAACATAAAATGGGAACCAGAGATCAGAATCAGAAAGAGAGTCAGGATTTTCAACTACTTTAAGGTAGAACAGAAATATAATTTGAATCAAAATAGGATTAAAATGACGGCAGCCGTGGCTTTCAGAGCAGAACTTACAGGGATTACACAGTTTACACACGAGCACACTCATTATCACTGCCAGTGATCAGGGAGATACTGTTAACAATAACAAGCTGGTTCTGGTCACAGGTAGAGGAAAACAAAAGGTGTCATGTTATTGACGTGTAGCTGGACTTGTGAATTGCAGGTGTAAGGACGTCATGAAATTGGATGTGGCAATATATGGAGTCACACATTTCGGTCTCCATACCATGTAAACAGAAAACAAGATTGAAGGGAATGAAGAGGAGAGATCTGGGGTGGATTGATGAACACGAAGAGATTGGATTTTGTGATCTGAGGAAGGGTTGCTCAGTCCAGAAGTTTCTCTCAAAATCCCCACCCCAAAACTTGGGACGGCACGGTGGCTCAGTGGTTAGCACTGCTGCCTCACAGCGCCAGGGACCCGGGTTTGATTCCAGCCTCGGGCGACTGTCTGTATGGAGTTTGCACATTCTCCCCTTGTCTGCGTGGGTTTCCTCTGGGCGCTCCAGTTTCCTCCTACAGTCCAAAAATGTGCAGGTGGATTGGCCATGCTAAATTGCTTGTAGTGTTTAGGTGGGTTATAAGGGGATGGGTCTGGGTGGGATGCTCCAAGGGTCGGTGTGGACTTGTTGGGCCGAAGGGCCTGTTTCCATACTGTAGGGATTTAAAAAAAAATTTCATCACCTCCTTACACCCGCAATTCACAAGTCCAGCTACACGTCAATAACATGACACCTTTTGTTTTCCTCTACCTGCGACCAGAACCAGCTTGTAGACATCAAGGCTGCATTAACCGATTGTGACATCAAGGAGCTCTGGCTAAACCAGGTCAATGGAAATGAGACCAAAGTCTCTCCATTTATTAGAGGCAAACTTAACAAGAAGAAAATGGTTGTGGTTGTTGGAGGTCAGTCATCTCAACTCCATCTCTGGAGGAGTTTCTCCAGGTAGGTACTTTTCATCAACCTGTTCAGGGGTGTTATTGTACATCTCTGCAGCAGCTAACACTTGTGCCCGGCTTTCTTACTACTGCACCATGAGCCCCAAGTTCTTCATTAACATGTTCCAAGATGTTACTTCACACCTTTGGAATAGGTGGTACTTGAACCCAGGACTCTTGGTCTAGAGGTAGGAATGCTACCACTGCACCACTAACTCCCTTGAACAAGTTCCTCAGGATAGTGTTCTAGGGCCAACCATCATCAGCTGCTTCATCAATGACCTTGCCGCCATCATAAGATCAGAAGTCACCAATTATTACACAACGTTCAGCACCATTCACAACTCCTCAGATTCTGAAGCAGTCCATGTTCAAATGCAGCAAGAACTGGATAATATCTGGGCTAGTGCTGACAAGTTGCAAATAACATTCATGTCATACAAGTGCTATCAAATGACCATCTCTAACAGAAGACAATCTAACCATCACCTCTTGACATTACCATTGTTGAGTTCCCCCTGTCAATATCCTTGATTGACCAGAAATTGAACTTGTCTAGCCATTTAAGTGCTGTATCTACAAGAGCTGTTTAGAGGTTAGGAATCCTGCAGTGAGTAAGTCAAATCCTGACTCTCAAAAGCCTGCCACCGTCTACAAGGCACAGGTCAGGACTGTGATGGAATACTCCCACTTGCCTGGATGGGGGCAGCTCCAACAACACTCAAGAAGCTTGACGCCATCCGGGACTTAGCAGCTCATTTGACTGGCACCACGTCCACAGATATCCACTCTCTCCACCCCCATGCTCCGTGACAGCTGTGTGTACTATCTTCAAGATGCTACGGAGAAATTCACCAAGGCTCCTTAGACAGCACCATCAAAACCCACAACCACTGCCATCGAGAAGGACAAGGGCAGCAACAAATGGGAACACCACCACCTGCATGTTTCCCTCTGTGTCGCTCACCATCCTGACTTGGAAATATATTGCTATTACTTCACTGTCACTAGTTCAACATCCTGGAATTCCCTCCCTAACAACATTGTGGTCTACCTACCTACAGCAATGGTTCAAGAAGGCAGCTTCTTCATTACCACCTTCTCAGGAAACTAGGGATGGGCAATAATGCAGCCTCACTGTTGACAACCACATTCCATAAGTGAATAAATAAAAAAGAATGTAGCACTCAATGCTGTAATGCTGCATGTGTGTGCACTGCTCCATCTCATAGTAGCATTGGCCTTAAACACAGCCTTTCCAAAATGCCAAGAATGACTGCACTTTATAGGATACTGTCACCATAAAGTACTTCGTAAGATCCTGAGGTTGAAAGATTTGTTTTAGAATTTTCTTTCTCTCTCTGAGACACTCCTTTAATAATGAGAGGGGCCCATTATGTGTCTATTTGTCCAAAAAATCATCTTTACTATTCTGTTCTGCAGAAAGCACAGCAGTGGTGACCAAGAGACTTCTACTCTGCCATCTCCTCCTGTCTTACCCACACCAGATGATTTTGGCCAGGTATGGACACAAACCTTATTTCTCCTCTTTCTAAAATTTTATGTTTTGCAAAAATGTAAAAATATATGGTGTTTCCTGTGGTAAATCATCCCCTTTCCTCTGCCATGGGCAGAGATAGCTGGACACGCATCCTGCTCTCTGTAGACACCGCTCTGCAAAACCTGCCAGATGTGGGTTTATGAATGTGATTTCATTGGGCTAAAGGTACAATTCATTTCTAGGGTATAGTTCCACTTGTCCCAGAGCTGTGGAATCACGAGGAGTAACAATTTATAAGAGCATAGGAAATAGGAGCAGGAGTAGACCATTCAATCCTCCTCCACCATTCAAAACAATCAAGGCCAATCGGATGCTTCAACTCCACTTTCCTGCTCAATTTCCTCCAAGACCAACAAACTGTCTGCCCAGTCTTAAATATACTCTGTACTGCAGCATCCAAAACCCTCTGGGGTAGGGATTTCCAAGTGTTCACAACCCTTTGAGTGGAGAAATTACTCCATATCTCAGTCCTAAATGGTCGACCGTGTGTCCTAGATTCCTTAGCTAGGCAAAGCAACCTCAGTGTCGATCTGTGAAGCCTTTTCCGAATCTTGTACATTCTATTGAAATTGCCCTTGAGAATGATTATTCTAAACACCAGGGATTATAGGCCCAGTTTATTCAGACTCTCATCATTGGACCACCCTCAGATCCCTGGAACCATACAGAGACCAAAGCTGCATGCAGAATTCTAAACGTGGTCTCGCCAAAACCCTGTGCAATTGTAACAAAACTACTTCATTCTTATATTGTAATCCACTTGCAATAGCTGCAAGTTAACTTCTGCATTTCTTATATGAGAGTGCCCAAGTCTCTCTCACATCAGTTTTATTCATTTCGCACCTTTCTAAAACTATTCTGTTCTTCTATTGTTACAATCAAAATGAATAGAATAGAATAGCATAGAATCCATACAGTGCGGAAACAGGCCCTTTGGCCCAACAAGTCCACACCGACTCTTGGAGCATCCCACCCAGACCTATCCCCCTATAACCCACACACCCCTGAACACTACAGGCAATCTAGCATGGCCAATCCACCTAGCCTGCACATCTTTGGACTGTGGGAGGAAACAGGAGCACCCAGAGGAAACCCACGCAGACACGGGGAGAATGCGCAAACTCTGCACAGACAGTCGCCCGAGGCTGGAATCGAACCCGGGTGAGGGGTGCTAACCACTGAGCCATGTGCCGCCTAGAATAGCCTTTCACCACCTGACATTATATGCCATCAGCCCCTTGTTGCTGCGCAAAAACTGTCAATATCTCTTTGCAACTCTGTGTCCTTCACACAGCTTACATCCCCAGCTAACTTTATGTCATCAGCAAATTTAGATTACTATCTGTCATTCCACCTAAGTCATTAATGTAAATTGTTTATAGATGAAGCCCCAGCACTGAGTGGAGTTCATGTTTCTGGTGGATTTGTAGCTATTCTCCCTATCAGCAATCGAATTAGGTGCAGGCCACTTGGCCCCTCGAGCCTGCTCCATCAACACAATTATAGTTGATGTTATTATTTCACATTCCCACCCACTCCATTAACCTTTCACCTCCTTGCTTATCAAGAATGTGTCTACTCACTGTCTTTTCAGGAAGACTGTCCCAAAGACTTATTATTGAACATTATTGATGAAAATCCAGTACTAATGCTGATCACTTTTCCTTTTGTCAGAGTTGTTTTATTTAGTTAAGTTCTATTCAATTTTCTGTAAAGTGCCTCTTGTCCAGGTTGGTTTTGATTACAGGGTTTTGCCGTGGCATGACTCTATCATATTAATTTGTGATAGTTTCTTACACAGGACAACAAAACCAAGACCTGGCCTCCGAAGGCTCCCTGGCAACACTCGACATCCCTCACCAACACAATGCCCAATCCTGGTACTTCCCTGTATCAGATTGTGAACCCAGTCAGCCAGTGGAATGACTCCATGCAAATTCTTCAGTCACCTGTGTGGTCAACAGCCAGCGGTAACTCTGCTTCCACAGCAATTTCTTCCAGTTTCTCCTTCACACAGCAACAGCAACAACAGTCTCAGCAGCAGCAAGTTTCCCAGCACAAAACAATGAACAAGGGCTTCAAATCCTATCCCGTCAAGCAGGAACGGAGACAGTCTTATCTCCACCAATACTGAGTGTTTGGAAATGGCTTTAACAAGGGTTCTGTATTCTAGTGAATAGTCACGTGGCTTTTAAGTGCTGTGAGTGAGGTAGCCCTGCCACATAACTGTCTTGATTGATCCTTGTTGATTTGATCTGCACTTTCTAACTACTGGCTGGAGGTACCCAGATGAAGGCAGATTGTTGTCTCTGCCTCTGTTCAGATCACCCTGTAGTGTGTTGCCAATGTCCCTCCACAATGGTATGGAGTCAGGACTCGGTGTGTGTGACTTTTTCTGCTCCCTTGCTGCCTCCACTCAGTGTTTCGAGATGCATGGTAGTGCCTTTTGTACTTCAAGCCAGATCACTGACCATTGGGTTGTTGTTTACGCCTGAGCCCAGCTTCCGAGCTTGACCATTGGGGAACCTGGTGTATTCGCTTGGGGGGGGCGGGTGGAATTCACTGAGCTGTCAGTAACACATTAGCTACCTGACAGCAAAAGGTAGTGGGAGAGCGTTTAAACACATGAAGTTGCCAATGTTGCACATTTACTAAACATGACCAGATCGAGATTAAAAAGAAACATGTAGTTCATGCCTGAAAACCTGGTGTTTCTGGCATCATCTGATTCCAGGTATTGTGGCAGTCTAGACTTCAGACTCTGTAAAACCAAGAGACATGACAGTAAGTTGAAGGAAAATAAAAAGCATACAGTCTTTGTGACATGTTCCTTGGGGTTCTTCTAATTCAGTAAAAATAGCCAAATGTCCAATTTACAACAAAGACATTTGGGATAGTGCTACAATCCCTCCCTGCAGCATTTGGACTGCTCATTAGGATACATTGCCTTTTAAAGAATAGTGTAATCTTTGTAATGTTGTGGTGTAGTTGCTGGTTTAATGTACTGAAGTTTTGAGTTTTCCACTTTCTCAATTATGAGCTCTGCAGCCTGTCTTTTTTAGAAGCTGACTGAATGACACAACGCGAGACATTTAATGTCCCTGTGCACTGACCTTGTATTATCTGTGGGGTGTGGGGGAACTGAGTTACTGGTAATACCTTGCACCTGTTTGTAAAACTCATACCACAAACAGTGAAGTGAGAACTGTATCAACTATGCTTGAATACAGTTATGTCAATGACATGGTGGGGGGAGAAAATATAAAGTTAAACTAAAAATCATTATTTAAATATAAGAGCTGCTCAAACTGTTTTATAGTTTGTACTGAGGAAAAAAAACATTTTAAAAACATCATCTATATAATTTTTTGTACTTTTTTTATTTTTTATAAATGAATTAGTGAGGTTCTCTCAGGAGGGAGTCTTGTATTCATCGCAGACATGACAGCTAGATGGCACCCCACACCCTGAAGGTGTAAGCTTCAGTTACAGTGACCATCTTTGTCTGATATCTCCACACTTGCTCAGATGGTGAACAGCTTGCAGGGGCGTTGAATTGGTCAGTTGTTTTAATCTGGGTGTCAGGAGCAGGGTAAATAAAACACCTGGCACAAAGTTGCCGAATTGGGTAAACCTCTTTTTATAAAGTACCATCCACCACTCAGAATAAACTGTCCCTCTCTCTCTCATGCATTCTCAATCTTTCATGTGAGCTGTCCAATGTTTATCTTGCGTCTCGCTGTTTATTACTGTTGCAGTCTGTCTCTTTCTGTGTGTTCTGTACAAAAGGTCAGGGGAGGAAGCTATGTTCTTTTACAATGGTCTAGGACCTAACCAGTTCTATCTTCAGAGTTCTGCATATCTGACCAGTGTGGAACTGTTAAACTTCGTGATTGAAATATTCTGCTGTCTGATCTCAACTAGTCTTGTCCCCAGTCTTTTACAGTTTCACTTTGATTGTCAGTGAGATGCTAAGTTATAGTGATTGAGTGCCCTGTCTCCCCTCAGACCATGCTGTCCCTCTTCACATGTGGAATGTCCTCAGCCCTGCAATGGACAATCTTCTGTGCCTGACCTGTCCCCCGCTCCCACACTCACAGGGTGTATAGGAGGTTGTTGGTTGGAGAGGAAGGATTGGTTTGAGTTGTTGGAAGGATACCTTCTGCAGAAATAAAATACAGAAACAAAAATTGAAAATATTGAAACATAACGAAGATGGTAAGCATCTGTGAGGAAGAGGGCATTGTTACTTTGGGTTTACATCTTTTGATAGAGAATTTTAAGTCAGATTTAGAGCTGCTTTAAGCATATAATGCAGTTGTTACCTGAAAGAGGTTATGTGGAAATGACCATTAGTGTAAAATCCATGTGAGATATCTTTCTTGCACTTTCTACTACCTTTTTTCTGTCATGTATTTGTACTTCAGCACCTATAAAGGGACATATAAAAATAAACATGTTACACTCTAACTCCACTTTCTATGGAAACACCACCAATGGTGACAGATTGTAATTCAGTTAACTGATCAGTTAGCTTCCAGTTATAAATGTTGGCCAAGGAGTTAATAATAAAAATAGACAAATATAAGGACAATGTGACTGTGAAATAGGATCTGTCTTGTATCTGTACACATTGGGCACTCCCTGACCCCAATCTAATTATCCCATCTCTCTCGTCCTGCTTCACTTGAAGACAGCAGGTTGTGATCTTGATGCTTTGGGTGCAGTGCAACAGAGAGTCAGCCCTTTTTAAACTTTAAAAGATTTTTTCTTTTTTTTTTAAATAAAAATTGCATCTGTCAGACAATGGACAAATGAGACTTTTTGTACTGATGGTGTAGAATTTAAAACAATGTTTTGAGGTGTTTCTGCAGATTCCTGTTTGTTAAAGTGAATTCAGACATTGCTAGTATCTTGCTTTTGACATGTTGTAACTGCATTCACTGCCTACTGTTAATCCTACTGGTGCCTCTCTCCTACATTGCGACCTGAATTTATAATTCCTTTGACAGGGATCATGGGAAGCTGAGGCAAGGGCACTTGGTTCAATTTAGTTTTGTAAAGGAGCATCGTGGCTTCAGGTGAGAGAGTGGGCAGTGGGATCGGTTATATTTGATTTGAATAATTTCACAAGGGATCTTGCAGATGTTTTGTCAGTTCATCAGCTGTCGGTTAATTGTGATGAAAGTGTACAATCATGACTTTTGTTTCCACCTGGTAATGTAGTGTTTTATTCAAAAAGAAAAGATTGCATTTATATAGCGCACTGAAGGTACTGCCCTCATGCTGTGCTTGTGATGAGCTGGCTGATACCTGTGGTTGTATCTGCCCCTGAACTGTGACCACGTTTGTGTGGTCTGTCTTTATCCTTCAAGGTCGTGTTCACTGATGGCTGACCTCCCAGCCACCACCCAGACAGCCTTGTTTGCTTTAAATTTTTTTATTAAATTTCATAAGACCGTAAGAAATAGGAACAGGAGTAGGCCATTCAGCCCTTCAAGTCAGCTCTATCATTCAATAGGATCATGGCACACATCCACATCCGACATTCCTTGCATCCACTTTCCTGCCCTTTCCTTGAATGATCAGGAATCTGTCTATCTCAGCTTTAAATATGCAGAAAGACTCACATACACATAAATATTGCAGAAACAAGTCTCACATTGGGGCGACCAGCGTTTTAGCTTCCAGTTCATTGTCCTTTCCCCGTACCAAGTTCCTCCTTAGCCCATCACCCAGCCAATAACTGACCTTCCAATTTAATATCACAGTCATCGTATAAGTGGGAAAGTGATTGGCTGTTTCCTTACTGCCCTCGCTTACTCTCTCGTTCTCTTTATCATCCCTCTCTGACATGCACTATTCCCCACAGGGGGAGTGTTGCCACATCTGGTCCTGGAATCCTCAAGCAGTTCATCAACTTGGCCAACATCTTCCACCCCACCGTCAACTTCACCTGGACAATTTCTGACAGCCCTCTCCCCTTCTTGGACCCCTATGTCTCCGTCTCCAGAAACCGACTCACCACTGACATCCATTTCAAACCCACAGACTTCCACAACTATCTCGAACACATCTCCTCTCACCCACCCTCCTGCAGAAATGCTATCCTATACTCCCAATTCCTCCGCATCTGCTCCCAGCATGAGGCATTCTGCTCTCGGACTTCCCAGATATCCTCCTACTTTAGGGACCGTAATTTCCCTTCCTCTGTATTAAGGATGCCCTCAACCATATCTCCTCCATTTCCCATATTTCTGCCCTCAAACCCTCTCCCCCCAAGAACAATAAGGATAGAGTCCCCTTAATCCTCAGTTACCACCCCACTAACCTCCGAATCCAACACATCATCCTCTGACATTTCCGCCACGTACAATTACACCCCACCAACAAAAACATGTTTTCAACCCCTCCCCTGTCTGTTTTCCGCAGGGATCGTTTATTCCATGATTCCCTTAGCTCTACACTTACCACCAATTTCTCCTCCACAACCGGTACCTTTCCTTGCCCCCACACCTCCCTTCTGACCTCTGTCCAAGAACCCAAACAATCCTTCCAGATCCGGCAGAGATTCACCTGCACTTCATCCAACCTGATCCATTGTATCTGTTGCTCCCGATGTGGTCTCCTCTGTATCGGGCAGAAGTGGGGACAGGTTCGCGGAGCGTCTGCACTTTGCATGCATCAACTAACCCGACCATCCGGTGCCATCCACTTAAATTTCCTGTCCCACTCCCCTGGTGACATGTCCGTCCTTGGCATCCTGCACTGTCAGAATGAGGCCAAACATAAACTGAAGGAACATAGAAAATAGGAGCAGGAGGAGGCCCTTCGAGCCTGCTCTGCCATTCTTCATGATCATGGCTGATCTTCCAACTCGACAGCCTCATCCTGCTTTCTCCCCATAACCTTTGATCCCATTCACCCCAAGTGCTATATCTAGCCGCCTCTTGAACACATTCAATGTTTTGGTATCAACTACTTCCTGTGGTAATGAATTCACAGGCTCACCACTCTTTGGGTGAAGAAATGTCTCCTCTTCTCTGTCCCAAATCGCCTACCCCGAATCCTCACACTGTGACCCCTGGTACTGGACACACCCACCATCGGGAACATCCTCCCTGCATCTACCCTGTCTAGTCTTGGTAGAATTTTATACGTCTCAATGAGACCCCCCGATTCGTTTTAACTCCAACAAAAACAATCATAACCTAGTCAATCCCTCCTCATATGTCAGTCCTGCCATCCCCAGAATCAGCCTGGTAAACCTTCGCTGCACTCCCTCAAGAGCACAAGCATCCTTCCTCAGAAAAGGAAACCAAAACTGCACACAATATTCTAGGTGTGGCCTCACCCAGGCCCTGTATAACTGCAACAACACAGCCCTGCTCCTGTACTCAAAACCTCTCGCGATGAAGGCCAACATACTATTCACCTTCTTTACCGCCTGCTGCACCTGCATACTTACCTTCAGCGATTGGTGCACAAGGACACCCGGGTCCCACCGCACACTCCCCGCTCCCAATTTACAGCCGTTCAGGTAGTAACCTGCCTTTTTGTTTTTGCTTCCAAAGTTTATCACATTTATCCAAATTATACTGCACCTGCCATTGATTTGCCCACTCACCCAACCTGTCGAGATCATGCTGAAGGACCTCTACATTCTCCTCACAGTTCACTCTTGGAGATGTTACATTTTGTTCCCTCATCCAAATCATTAATATATATTGTGAATAGCTGGGGTCCCAGCACCGATCCCTGTGGCACCCCACTAGTTACTGCCTGCCAATTTGAAAAGGACCCATTAATTCCTACTCTTTGTTTCCTCTCTGCCAACCAGTTTTCTGTCCATCTCAGTACACTTCCCCCAGTCGAATGTGCTTTAATCTCGCACAATATTCTATGTGGGACTTTTTCAAAAGCTTTCTGAAAGTCCAAATATACCACATTGACTGGCTCCCCCTTGTCAACTCTACTAGTTACATCTTCATAGAATTCCAACAGATTTGTCGAGCATGATTTCCCCTTCACAAATCCATACTGACTCTGTCTGATCCTGCTGCTGCTTTCTAAATGCTCCACTTATAAAGTCCTTGATAATGAATAGAGAATTTTTTCCACCACCAAATGTTAGGCTTATTGGTCTATAATTCCCTCTTTTCTCTCTACCTCTCTTTTTGAATACTGGGGTGACATTAGCCTCCCTCTAATCTGCAGGGACTGTTCCATAGTCTATAGAATCCTGGAAGATGACCACCTGTGCGTCCACTATTTCTAGAGCTATTTCCTTACATACTTTGGGATGTAGATTATCAGGCCCTGGGGATTTATTCGCAGGGCCTGATAATCCCATCAATTTCCCCAGTACCATTTCTGTACTAATAGTGATCTCCCTCAATTCTTCCCTCTCACTAAATCTTGTATTCTCCAACATTTCTGCCTACTGATTGGTTCTGTCTTCACAAAAGATGTCACAAAAGGATGTATTCAGTTCCTTAGCCATTTCTTTGTCCCCTATTATACATTCTGCGATTTCTGTCTGTAGAGGACCTACATTTGTCTTCACCAATCTCTTTCTCTTCTTGTACTTTCAAAACTCTTAGTGTCAGTCTTTATGTTCCCTGCAAGCTTACTTTTGTACTGTATTTTCTCCTTCTAAATCAATCCCTTGGTCCCTCTTTGCTGAATTCTAAACTGCTCCCAATCCTCACATTTATTACTTTTCTTGGCCAGTCTGTATGCTTCTTCCTTGGATCAGATACTACCTCTAATTTCCTTTGTAAGCCATGGATTGGCCCTCTTGCCCATTTTGCTTTTGTGCCAGACAGGAATAAACAGTTGTTGCAGTTCCCCCATGCGTTCCTTGAACGTTTGCCATTGCCTATCCATTGTCATCCCTTTAAGTAACTCTCCCCAATCTATCAAGGCCAACTCATGCCTCATATCTTCATAGTTTCCTTTGTTAAGATTCAGCACCCTAGTCTCTGAATCAACTACCTCACTCTCCATCTTGATTAAAAATTCTATCATGTTATGGTTGCGCTTCCCCAAGGGATCTTGCACAGCTAGATTGGCAATGATTCCCTTCTCATTATACAGTGCCTGGTCTAAAATGGTTTCTCCACATATTGGTCAAGAAAACCATCCCATATACACTCCAGGAATTCCTCCTCTACGGCATTGTGGCTAATTTGATTTCCCTAATCTATGTGCAGATTAAGATCACTCATGATCTCGGAACAACACCTGATATTTCACCTGGAGCCCAATGGCCTCAAGATTGACCTCATGTAGCTTCAAAATCCCTCAGTTCCCAGCCTTATCCCATGTCTGGCCCTCCCCTCCTGACCTGACCTAACCTGTCCATGTTCCTACTCACCTATTCACTCCACCCTTCCCACGGACCAATCACAATAACCCCCCTATCTGCATCCATCTATCACCATCTCTCCTACCCTTCCCCAGCCCTACCCACCACCTCCTATTTATTTCTGGCCTCCCCTCCCCCTCCCCAGCCCTGACGAAGGGTTTCGGCCTGAAAAGTTGAATTTGCTGCTCCTCAGATACTGTCCAACCTGCTGTGCTTTTCCAGGTACACACCTGTAGACTCTGGTTTCCAGCATCTGCAGTCCTTATTGTCTCCTGGAATTTTACCCAATTACACTACCAAGTCAAACAACCTTGTTTCCCACTTTTCCTAATGTGTTTATAACTAATGAACTGGAGTGTTGGAAGTAAAGGTGTAAAACATCCATTTATTTTAACACCTCTGATTTTGGTTTGTTCCTGAGTTTTGAAAAACTGCAGTGTCCAGATTAACTTCTGTAGAATCGGAGACAATCGTGCAGGGTTTTGGCGACGCTAAATGCAGAGCTCTAAAATGTTACATTTCCACCTTTATGATCCCTTGAGGCAATTATCTGCCAATGATAGAAGTGCATTGTATGGAATGTACCCCTATGGAATGTACCCCTTCCTCAGCCCAGTGTCGTTCACCAGTGACTGATATGTGGGGGAACAGGGAGAGGACATTTGAAATTGTAACTCAATCTGCAATGAAGGTAGTAGGGAAAGATTCAGTGTGGTCCTGTCGAGATCATTTTAGTAATTCTTTTACACAATTTTAAAGTCGTTCCTGATTGGCTTGCATTGTGCTAAATTATTTGATTCTTCCAATTGGAAAGACTAATAGATGTCCATTCACTTAAAAAATCTTAATATTTGTGTAAATGCATCAACAGTATTAATCTTATTTTTGTATTTTCTAAAACATATTACTATCACTGTATATTTTAAAACATTTAAGTAAAGATGGGTTTTAAAAGTGTATTTGACTAATTTGGTAAACTGTTCTCATTCAGATGATGAACTGTAGAGTGGTGAGTCCAGTCTTTCTATCGAATGATTCTCCATTTCATGGTACCAAAAGCTGTGCAGAACATTGACAGAATGATTGGTGTCACTTGCTGTTTGAATCCAGTCAGCTGGAGGGGCTGCTGTTCTTTCGTGTGGTCAAAGGGCTCACTTTTCAAACCCGGGATGTCAAGTTGGGAGTTCACTCAACTTTTTAGAAACTCATGTTGATCAGAGTTTTTTTTTTTAAAAGTTCTGAAATAAATCTACCAAACAATCTTCCTTTATATACCAACAAACCACTGCCTGGAATTTTGTTTGTGTGAAATTAGACTTCAGATTTTGCAGAAATCAAAGTTCTGATGAGAGAATTGTTATTTTTCTCTTTCACGGGATGTGGATATCAGAAGTGAGGCCAGCATTTATCACCTGTCCCTAGTTGCCCTTGAAGCTGAATGTTTCACGTCTATCTCAGAAGAGAAGTGTGGCAGTTTCCCATTGGTTAACAAATTGGAAGTTCTGTTTTTTTTTGATAACTATTCATCTTTGAGTGAAAATCACTGGGAGCCAACCACTGGGGCCAGGTGGGTACCTTGGAATATCCTCGAGATGCAGGTCATCTCACAAAATGATTGCCAAGCATGTGTCATATATGCTTATTCATTTTAGGCGGTGTACAAGTTTGCATTTGGGAGCCACTCTGTTTGGTTATTTAACCTGTTTTAATTAATTGTGTGAAACTTTCTAACCTATGAATACAGTACAGGTTCCTAACCTGTGGTCAAAGTACAGGAGGCAGATTGGCACAGTGGGAGTCAGTTTCAACATGGAAAACCAGAACCAGACAAGACACTAGAATGTATCCTGGCTGCGTCCCCATGGTGCTAACCGAAATGGAATCCATCGCTCCTTTCCAAATTGTTGCCAGAGGGAGATATTTATCTTTTATTTCTATTGCCAGTCCTGAATTGACCTTGAGCTGAGTGGTTTTGGCTTTCTCGCTATTTCAGAGGGCAGTTAAGTGAACCAGATTGAGAGTCTGGAGTGACATGTAGCCCAGATCGGATGGGAATGATAGAATTCCTTCCCTAAAGGACCAGATTTTTTTAGAGCAGTTGGCGATAGTTTAATGGTTACCTATACTGAGAGTAATTCCAAATAGATTAATTAAATTTAAAGTCTGTCGCTCCAGGGTGGGTTTTGAACCCCAGATCATTAGCTGGTCGTTCTGGATTACCAAAGCAGTGATATTACCATTATGCCACCAACTCCCTCTAAAAGGATTTCATTGTTCTTTCAAATCAGTTATAGGGGAGGGCCTGGTCCACAGTATTACATAGTCAAAGCCAACTGGCCTGTGCCTGGTGACTCATGTTGTCATCTGTCTCCATGGAGGACAGGGTATGGGCTTGCATATAGATTTCTGAGCACAGAGCAATAACCTTGTCCAGTCCTGCACTTATGTGAACACCAATTATCCCAGTTGTCTCATGAAACTTTTGATGGCATTTTAGATTAAAAATGTACTACTTTGTCCACTTAATACAGTTTCAGAATAAGGGTTTTATTGCCTGTATCCAACTTTCACACTTATGTATTAATAGATCGTAGAATCCCTACAGTGTGGAAACAGGCCCTTCAGCCCAACAAATCCATACTGACCCAAGCCCTATAACCCACCTAAGCTCCGCATCCCTGAACACTCCAGGACAATTTAACATGGCCAATCCATCTAGCCTGCACATCTTTGGACTGTGGGAGGAAACCCACGCAGACACGGGGAGAATGTGCAAACTCCACACAGACAGTCACCCGGCGGTGGAATCGAACCCGGGTCCCTGGCGCTGTGAGGTAACAGTGCTAACCACTGGCCCACCGTGCCACCTGCAATCTGCTTTTTTAAAAACAACAGATCTTTGATTTTGTTCAGGCCTGTTCATATAGTTTGCCTGTTTTCACCAAATACACAAATGGAAAAGGAAATAACCCCTTTATCAGCCATCAGGTTTACCCCATAACATGATGGCTGGAACAGGCACTTCCTCTGTCCCCATCTCCTCAAAGCCATGTAATCTCATGAGAGAGGCAACATATCAGGAAAAAGGTGAAGCCTGTAAATATTCAGGATCATCTCCGTCCAACATCCTCTGTCAGGTAACTCGAGCCACTTTGAGAGATTGCACAGATGAACAAGATCAGGGGAGATTGCTGAACTCGTAGATGCCCTGTTGAAAATGTGAGAATTAGATGGAGGCTGTCGTCTAACCATAGGCAGCATCTGTGCCAAGTATTGCCAAACATACCTATCTGCCCTACATGTATGCCAGGGTTGAGACTCCAGGCTATCAATCTGTGTTGGTTAAACTGTGGACTCGAGTGGGCATGGGTGAACAGAGTGAGGTGAGTGGGCAGCACGTCACCCCCTTCTGCCCTTTTCCCCCTCCACCCCACAGTGGAGCCCTTGGCTGGGTGATGTCTATCCTTTGTTTTATCTCACTCCTTCATTCATTCTAACTGTGATGAAATACAGGGGAATCCTGCAGAATTGTATCTTTCTCTTTTTATGCTTCTCCTCTCTTTTCAATTCTTGGCCCAGTATGAAATTTCATTGTTAGATGTTGCTGTACCTGCCACATGCTGCCCAATGCAGGAGCCCAGAGGTAGCTCATCCTCTCCTCAGCTTCACTGAGTCAGTGTCAAGGAAGAGGAGTTTGGAACTACAACTGTAACCTTTATTTTGAGTTTCATCATTTAATCTAATTAAAAAATCCCTTTCCTTAATGATTGACATTCAATATTTTCCAAACACTGGACTTCAGTAATTCAAGGATGTGCTTTATCAAAACCACCTTCTTAAGGACAATTACCATTGCCCCTATTCCTGTGGATAAAATAAGATGGCAACAAAGATATATCCTAATGAGAAAGAAGATGAACCAACCATGGTTAACCAAGTAAGTTAACAATAGGATCAATTGGAAGAGAAAATAGTCATAAATCAGAGGATTGGAAAAGTTTTAAAAACCAACAAAAGGTGATCAAAAATATGTTAAGAAATGGAAAAAGTGCATGTTGAGAATACAGTAGCAAGTAGTATCAAGATTGGCACAAGACCATCTTTAAATGTATGAAAAGGACAGGAGAGATGATAGTGAACTTAAACCCCTTAGAAACTGTTTGGGAAAATAATAAAGGGGAACCAGGAAATGGCAGAAGAGTTGAATAAGTGCTTTGCATCAATCTTCACTGTAGAAAGCGCTAATAGCATTCTAAATTACTAAATGTTCAGTCATCAAAAAGAGGAGAGGAAATAATTACAATAACGTTAAAGAAAATATGCTGGGAAACTAATAGGGCTAAAAACCCCCAAGTCCCTTGGACCTGATGGGACACATCATAGGATATTAAAGATAGTAGTTACAGAGCTAGTGGATGCTCAAGTAGCAATCTTCCAGAAAACCTTAGGTTCTTGAAAAGTGCCAAAGGGCTGGAAAACTGCCAATGGAACACCTTTATTTAAAAAGGGAGGGAGACCAAAAGAAAGGTAACATCTGTCATTAGGCACATGTTACAATTTATTATAAAGGATTTAATAGCAGAGCATTTAAATGCATAATATGATCAAACACAGTCAGCATGGCTTTGTGAAGGGGAAATCATACCTAAACAATTTACTAGAATTCTTTGAGGAGGTAACAAGCAGGATAGATAAAGATTTTCAGAAGGCTGTTGATATGGTATTATATATTAAGCTACTTAATAGGATGAATATATTAGCATGGATTGGAGATTGGATAACTGATAGAGGACAGAGAGTTGGGATAAAGTGGGGGGCAGTTTCAGAATGCCAATTTGTAACTGTTGGGATCAGTACTGGAACCACAATCATTTACAATGTGTGTTAATACTATATGACAGAAGTGAAAGTATTATCTCCAAGCAGATGACACAAAAATAGATGGGAAGGCAAGTGGTGAGGATGACACAGAGTTTGCAGAGCGATATAGACAGGTTAAGTGAATGGGCAAAAACTTGTCAGATGAAATACAAAGTGGAAAATTTGATGTTGTGAACTTTGGCAGGAAGAATAGAAGAGCTGGATAATATTTAAATAGGGAAAGACTGCAGAAAGCTACAGTACAGGTGAATTTGGGAGTCCTTGTGTATAAATCCCAAAAAGCTGGCATCCAAGTTG